CTTTCCACCAAACAGAAACATGCCTAGCACACTGAAAAGTAACAACACACGTGGACAATGCTGGAGAGGTGAGAGCAGGCTGAGGTGGTTTGGTGGGGGGGTGCTCCAGGCTGACCACGGTAACACACAGGTGAGGATGGTGGGTGAGATGACCACATTAACACAAAACGTGACGGAGGTGAGTTGAATGATCACGTTAATGCAACGGGTGAGGATGGTGAGGTGAATGATTGCGATAGCACGCACGTAAGGAGACGTGGGATGGTTGGCCACATTAACACATGGGTGAGGATGGCAAAGAAGAAAAACACAAATACAAAGGAAGGGCGGTGGGTAAGCTATCCATGTTAGCACACGGGGAAGGTTCATAAGGTAGGGGACAGGCGACCATAATTAAACCTGAACATCAGTGAACTGTAAAATTTGTTACCTTGGATAACTTCAGTGATTGGAAGAACTGATCCTTATCATTTGACTTTGATGGTGTCCATTGCCAGACCTCTCAAATATTTCTTACTCATTCAGGTGTAATTTTGTATATATCATAAATTAAAATTTGTAATACCAATAGATTTCTCTCTTATCCCTCAAACTGGTTTTGAAAATTACCCCCCCTTCCCTCTAGCAATGTTAAATTCAATTCTACCATTTTCTTTGTTCATAACAGTAAATGTTAATATCTGATAATAAGACGACTGAACTTAAGTAACAAATATCAGCTGCAAGAGAGTGCAAAACGAATTAATTTAGGAATAATTATGGTCATCCATGTTTGGTTCTAGAATGTGTTGCCTTCTCCGCAGTTCACAAACAGATGAGCATGAAGGATGAATAAACACACTGCCATTTGTGAGAAAAACAGTAACGGCTTTTACGAAAGGCTACACTCACAACAAACAGGGGATAGGTATACAACTTGGATACATGTAGGTTTATCACATATAACAGCCGGTATTTCGGTTGCATAAAATGCCAAAACAATAAACAAAAAACACAATAAACTACATATGCTACAAGCAATCGATGTAGGGGTTGCTTCGAGTTGATACATTTAGAAACACTAGCTGATAAGCTACGGATATCAGCACTTGTGGTCAAGCGCTTTGTACTACGACTTCCAGTAAATGAAAGAGATAGGTAAATCAATGCAAAATAAACAAAACGTCAGAGATAGGTAATTCAATCAAGTACACTGCATCAAGATATCACCAAAGAAAGGCCAAAGCGACAGGCTACTACAAATACTTTTACATGTACAGCACCACTTCACAGTCATACATACAAAAGTAAATAAATTACTGTAATACGTACACATAGAGAAAATGCAGCAGGCAGAGTCGTTTTTGTGATATATAAACCAGAGGTGAAATGTCCACTAAGACATAGAGACAAGAATATTTTGTGGACAATATTCAATGTACTATACAATATTGTCAGAAAATAACAAGTGGACTACTTGTAAAGCAACATTGAGATTCCAGTTCTTATTTTTTTTTTGAAGCTACCATTTGATACAATAATGGCTAAGCAATTGCAATATTATGTATGTACAAAACAGCATATGAGAGTAGATACAACTTCATGCCAAGATGGAAATCACTTTGTTCAGACAGTGTCTTTAAGGCCTATTTTAACACTGTAAACTTTATATATAAACTTACAAAAAGGTTATATGATGGTAAATATACTGACGTAGGGCATATGTAAATATAATACATGCTTAATTACAGTAGACAAAGGTAAACTAACATGTGATCATTATGAAAAAAAAACGAAGCAAACTAGTGTCACCGCTCAGAACACGTCAAATATATATACACATCTTTATTTTAGTGGCTTTACAGGAATATTTGCAATATGATGGTGACTTACATGTAAAGGTAGCTAATGAAAAGGGTGAAATATTCACACATGAAGACGACCAGATATTGTCTCGTATGCAAAGATTTTTTTTTTATCATAAGGAGGGTGAAGCATTTACAGACAAAAAAAGGTATCTCATAAGACAGGAGAGGATGGTAAGGTATTTTTAAAACTTTGATGAGGAAGATAAACAAACGTAAAATAACACATAAAGGTTACGATGAAAAATGAAAAGCACGGGTAGTACAGAAGCAGATACAAGAACCGGAGTGGGGATTATGGAATAACATTAATATTAATGGGGACCACAGAGGCTATGATGGTGCTCTCGCATAATCAAAACTTTCAAAGTATGGAATGACATTTATGCATTATGGAAGTTAGAAGCAGGTTAGAACGGCGGAATGACATGCCATACAAGAGGGAAGCTCCAAACGAAACAAGTAAGGGAGGCAGTCAGACAATTACACGAGAGACAGTGTTAAATGTGGCCACATGAACAGACACAGGGATTAGGAATAGTAGGACGTAGGTACTGCAGCTCCCTCAGGGAAAGGGATGGGATACGGAATAGTGCTGAGTTTGTAATGATCATGATTTTCAAGAATGAGTTAATGAGGATATTGGTGAAGGCCCAGGCTTATGGATTATTTTTGCAAAATCACAATAACTACTCTCTTGAAAAAAAAAAAAAAATCCCAATTCAATATTTATTCAAAGATGTTAATGCAACTCGATACTTTCAGTACAATATATTAAACAGTCAATGCTTGTACGTTTATTTCTCAAGATATCAATTCAAATATAAATGGATCAAATCAGCATGCTACACACATTAATAAATATGAATCGCCAACAAGAACATCAAGTACTGAAAGGAAATATGACTGAACTTTGCAGATCTTTAAGGCAAGAGGATAATGCATGATCACAAGAGCCTGGGACATATGGCACAAACACTCGGTAAACGAAAGTGGCAAATGGGTCACCATGGAGCGCGTGGGAGCATCTGGTGGAAAAGATCAAGAGTGGGGGATCCTGGTACCTGGAGCTAGATGGGGTCTAACAGGCCATCTTAAGTGCTTACTGGCTCGTACCCTTTTGACCTGTCTTGTGCATCAGACTTCTCTTAGGGCAATGGCTGTTCTGGTTTTATGACTCAGTGCGATGGCTGAACTTTGGTTCTAGTGAGGGACTATGTGATTGTCATCATCATCATTAGTATCATTATTAACATTTCAATAATCATAGACAATTTTTGATGATGAAAATGATAATGATAATAATTATAATAATAATAATAATAATAACTATAATAATAACAATAATAATAGTAACAATAACTATTGTTATCATTATTATTATAATCATTATTATCGTTATCATTATTATACCATTATTCTTGCAGCTGTCATTATCATTATCATCCATTTTATTCACTCAGTCATGAATATACTGCAGGTCAACATGCACCAGAAGCCTGCAGTCGTTTACTGGAGATAAGTGTACCAGCCAGTAAGGATTACACACAAAAATACTGTATAGATTATTAATTTACAAGAGGCCATATACAATACATACTCATCCTACTTAGGGATACTACAAAGACATACCTATAGAGAAAAATACTATTGTTAGATGTCTACATTTTCCCCAAGATTTTGAGGGATGTTTCAATATAATGTGTAGTACCATCAAATACTCAGCATAAATAAGCATTTCAAACAGGTATGGGGGATGGCTTCTGGAGAATACTATGATTCTAGTTATTTGCCTAAAGCTATTGCTGATACTGCACAGAAATATTTTCACAAAAGATTTACCAGCACTGCATGTGTAGCACTGACACACTCTTGGTGAATCAGTAATACCATACTACAGGTTATGTAGCACTTCTACTTTCCAGGCAAATCATATCAACATTATCATTATACAGCATAGGTGGTACTGCTAAATTCTACCTGTGCCTCTACCTCCCTTCTACAGCACAGGCATGAACACTACTCTATCTTGTTCATTTCTAGAAAGCCACTATATGAAGGATTTTGCTATATAATTTTAGCAATATATCCATTGTCTATTTTTTTTTTACCTGTCAACATCATATGCTGCTGTAATACTACACTCATGTCTCTTATATAAACTGCACCAGGATAATATTTACTCACTACAACATCACTTCTGTACCAAAGCATCTGAAATCTAAAACTACTACAATCGCTCATAAGGGTTTCGACAGTTCATCTACAATAATGATAATCTCAGGCTGCCCATACATTCAGCTGTCTAAACCAGTAGTTTATTTTTGATATCTTGGTCATAGATATACCATTTCATGTGATATTTCTCCTTTATGCTGAACGCTTTGATACTGGAACTATGAATTCCTCATTGCTTAGTTCTATATATTAATAATAAATAGAAATATTCAAATGAAAAGGTTTACACAAATAAAATATGAACAAACATAACAAACATGGATTGGGAAAAAACAGGAATGAAAGTTGTAGAAGACATTATGCGCCCGCACACACAAACGGCCAAGCATGCACAGGCGCGCACCGGGGCACACATATGCTTATCCATGCAAGCATAAATTTATGCATAACATGTACAAGCATATATCATTTTTACTCGCTCGCAACCATAAACATATGCACGTACATGCACACACATGCGCAAGTACGTACAGATGCACAGATAAACACACAAGCACGCAAACGCAAACACACACACACACACACACACACACACACACACACACACACACACACACACACACACACACACACACACACACACACACACACACTGCACAATCACATGTGTCCGTGCTCGCAGATACATGACTATATACACAGCTATGCATGCATACGTACATACACATACATACGCATGAATGCACAAGCTCATGTATATCTATACATGGGTGTATGCATGTATATGTATATATACATACATATTTATACAAACATACACACACACACACACACACACACACACACATACATATATATATTATATATATATATATATATATATATATATATATATAATATATATATATATATATATACACACATGTATGTATGCATGAACATTTAGACATACAGACACACACACACACACACACAGAC